TTTTCCTGTACGCTGTGCACCAAAGAGGTCACTCGGTGTTTTCAGTTTTGGAGTTCGCTGCAGGAGTGGCTATGTTGTTTGTGGGAACCGGAGCAAAATGAAAATGCAGGACTCCTTGTTGAAAAGTTAAGAATTTTGACTTGATAACTGGTCTTTCATTCACTCAAGGGTTGGGATGGGGGTGCCTGTGTGAACACACGGGTCGCACACCCCCGGGGCTGGCTCTCCTTCCGCCTTAGGAACCTCAGGGAAGATGAGAGAAAAAAAGGAAGTACCTGTGTCTGCTAACTTCTCGGTGGGGTGTTGGGGAGGGTGTCTTCTTCCAGGCAGAGAAGGGGCGGGAGGAGCTGTCCTGCTGTCTTTGGAGACGTGTGGTAGTCCTTGGAGATGTGCCATTTGTATTTCCCATATTTCTTTATTTTTATTTTTTAATGTTTATTCATTTTGGAGAGACAGAGAACATGAGTCAGGGAGGGGGAGAGAGAGGGAGACACAGAATCGGAAGCAGGCTCCAGGCTCTGAGCTGTCAGCACAGAGCCTGATGCGGGGCTCGAACTCATGATGAACCATGAGATCGTGACCTGAGCCAAAGTGAGACGCTTAACTGCGTCCGTCCTTCCTTCCTTCCTTCCTTCCTTCCTTCCTTCCTTCCTTCCTTCCTTCCTTCCTTCCTCCCTCCCTCCCTCCCTCCCTCCCTCCCTCCCTTCCTTCTCTTTCCATTTGTAGAAAACTCAAAATAGTTGTTAATGTAAGGTTAGGAGTCATGTGTTTGGAGCCCTTTCCACGGTTTGAAGGTTTTTTTCATCGTGTGAGCTAATCCCAGCCCCCAGTGCCTGGCTAGTTGATCTCACTTTGTCCCCATTTCCCCCCTCATTTCCCTCCCCCGCCCCGCCGGCCGTGGCAGCGGCAGCAGGGGCCACCTCGAGCTCCTTTTGTCCCTCCGCAGCCAGCTGTGGGGCGTGGCCGATGGAAAGCCCAGTAACCATTGGAACATACACACTGGTATCTGCTTTCCTTTCCCTGTTACTCCTGCCCCCTTTTCTCCTTTTGGTTTTATGTCTGTCCTCATTCAGAATACACACCTGCCTAGACACACGTAACCACGTGTCCTGCACGCAGGCCTGAACCGTGCCTTTTTGATGGCTAAAAAAAAAAATGGCAGTATGGAAAGGGAAGTCCAAATTTATGGTCAAGACTGCATGATTAGCTCTAGAGAGTGGGAGGCTGAGGATAGCCCTTCGTTGAAGCTGCAAGGTTCCCCCCACCCCCCAATGCTGAAACGCTAATGAGGGAGCCACCACGAAGGTCTCCAAGTGGCTTCCGCGGGTCCCTTCCCCAGACGGTGGATGACACACAGACAGAGCAGAAGAGCTTGTCTCAAGGATCCGCCGGCCGGCCTTAGGCAGAGACTCCTCGGCATGCACAGCGGATTAAAAGGGGTTTTTGTTGAGGTGGAGCAGATGGACAGGGAGAGGCAGGGTTCACATTAGCTGATCATAAATCAGGACTCCGTTGTAGAAGGGAAAGATCTGGCTCTGGTCACTTAAAAGTTTGAGCTAATTTAATTTGTTCTTCTTTTTTTTCTTGTTGGAAGAGCCCCTCCTGCTTATAAACAGACAAACAAAAAAATCACTGTGAAGAGTTTAGAAAGCATACACGCTGGAGAAAGGAATAAATTCCCTATGTCTCCAGAAAGAATCACCATCCACCCTTCCAGCATAACCCTCCTGATTTTGTCCTCTGTCCTGCCGTCATCCACACATATACGTGTATAGTTATTATTTAATAAGACTTGAGATGCACGTTCCTCTTTGAGTTACACGTAAAAGAAGATTTGTGGCTCGGTCTCCAACTTTGGAACACGGGCTCCGTGATCGTTTGGGTCAGTCCGCCGGCTTAAATTTTAGTAATAAAACCAGAGACAATGTGTAAATTTATGTTTGGGAAAGCTGAGGCAAGCTCAGGTGAAGGAAAAGTTCATTGGCACAGAGGACCATGTTGAATTTATGATCTTCCTTCCTTCAAGAAAAGGGCGACTCTGCCTATTTTTTCCTGTTGCCCCCTGGTGGGACCAGAAGAAATGTTCAGGCAGGAAAAGAATTCTGCCCTTTGGACTCTCTTTCCCCCCATTTCTAATGCTCTGACTCTTTGTGTGTGTTTTTAAATTCTTCTAATGTTGTATTTATTTTTGAGAGAGAAAGACACACACACACACACACACACACACACACACACACACACACACACAGTATGAGTGGGGCAGGGGCAGAGAGAGTGGGAGACCCAGAATCTGAAGCAGCCTCCAGGCTCTGAGCCGTCAGCACAGATTCCAACACGGGCAGAGCTTGAACTCACAGTCTGTGAGATCATGACTTGAGCCGAAGTCAGACGCTTAACCCACTGAGCCACCCAGGTGCCCCTCTGACTCTTTGGATTTTGGTGGAAATCTTCTATTCCCTCTGCAGATGTCTCGACATAATGAACGCTTGAGGCTGTGGGTCTCTCTCCAGCGTGCTAGGGCTCAGGCCCACGAACTGAATTTAGGCCTGTGTTTTGAGAAAATGAGGCACATTAAACACTGATGTGAGATGAGTGAGATGCCCACGCTGGAAGAGTCTAGAAGGCCCTCAGAGCAACTGACGGCCCAGCTCATCGCCACTTGCTACGTTCTGTCTAGAAGTTGTTATTAGTGTTTGTATGCTTTCCTTTTTTAGTGCCAGTGCTGTTACCATGATGAAATTTAATTAAACGCAAGAACTAAGGAAAATGAAACCCTGTGGAACCTCCTTGAAAAAGTTGTTTCCATAGCGATAACTTGGAATGCTCTGGAAAGCCTTGGTGCGAAAAGTAGAAAATGCTGTGAAAAACTGTAGAAGTCTCGAGTCGTACGCTTAGATGACCTCGTCAGTGTCTTTTAAGTTCTTCTCAAAACTAGCGGAGCTCCAACGAGTGAGCGAATGCGCCTCCTTCGTGAGCGCCGGGCATTTGTTGAGTGAACGGAGGGAGTAGCAGCCGAGTGATTCCCCTTCGACTTTTGCTCTGGGTGCTGGGGAAAATGACACTTGCCTGCAGAGGACTGAGAGCCATTCCTGTCATTTCCTTTCTCCCTCGGCTCATCTGATGGTTTGTAAGTTAAATGGGCTTTTTACAATAGGCCAAAGACTCTCGAAGATTTTAATGTGTGAGAATGTGCCCCGCCCCCAGAACCTAGGCCCGTCTCCTCTCCGGACTCGTTCTTAGGACCACCCGGCCCCCGACCAGCCCTTCAGCCTTTGTCTCTTGGACGTCCCTGCGTCCCATGCGGCGCTTCTGGTCTCGCTGAAGGAGGTGCAGCCTGCCACTGCACGCGCGTGCGCGTGGGCAGCTGACACGCACACTCTCTCCAGTCTCGTGCCTTCCGCTCCTGGGTTACTGGTCACCAGTGTCCTTCATCTGGCCATTTCCCGTGTCACCTCTTGTGCACCTCCCTGAGCCCCTCCCACCCGATTATTATTTGCCCATCGCCTCCTTCCCTCCACTAGACCGTGAGTTCTGTGGATCCCCACCTGCGCATGACCTGGCATACGGCAGGCATTCCATAAATGCTGCTGGAATGTTGAATGCATGATCAAGGGGCTTCTGTGTGCACACTGGGCTCCCCTGCATCATTTCACACACTATTTAGCACTAACAGCATCTGTCTGACTCTCTTTCTCACCCGCTCATGGGTTTGCAAACTATATAGCCCAGGGGCCAAATCCAGCCCCCCACCTGTTTTTTTTTTTTTAATTTTTTTTAACGTTTATTTATTTTTGAGACAGAGACAGAGCATGAACGGGGGAGGGTCAGAGAGAGGGAGACACAGAATCTGAAGCAGGCTCCAGGCTCTGAGCTGTCAGCACAGAGCCCGACGCAGGGCTCGAACTCACGGACCGTGAGATCATGACCTGAGCCGAAGTCGGACGCTTAACCGACTGAGCCACCCAGGCACCTGTTTTTTTTTTTTTGTTTGTTTGTTTGGTATGGGCTGGGAGCTAAGAATGGTTTTTAGCCTTTGGTGGGGAACAGTCGTTGGCCCAGTGGGGAACCGAAACTGTTCACTGCCGTGGTCTCCACCAGCACGTTTGTTGACTCCTGGAGACCAGGCTTTTTTTTTTCTAGGATAAGGGGACTGTCTTGCATCTTTGAATTCCCATAGCATAGCACTCAGTACATGTGTTTTGGGGGGAGGGGAGGGGTTGAACTGAACTCACTTCTTTTTTTTTTTGGTATTTTTTATTCACCCTCTGGAGTCAGATGGTGGTGTGAATCCTGGCTCTGACCTGTTCTCACCGTGAGACTAGGGGTTTGGGTATGGTGCAGGTCTGAGCCTTTTTTCCTCCTCTGAAAACTTCAGACAATAATCCCTGTTTCTGAGGGCTGTCGTGAGGGTAAAAGAAGCTGTCACTCTGTCAGCTTCTGTACTGTGCTTAGCACAGGATTGGTGTTTAATGTGAGCTGTTACTGTTTATCCAGACATCCAGCGAAAGTTGTGTAGCCTGAACATCACATAAGCAAAATATCTAGCAATTGCAAATCTAAAAAAAAAAATCGGTCATTTTTGGTTGGCCCCAAATTCTTTCTAGGGGTGTTGAAAATTAAGAGCTGACCTTCTGTCTGTGGATCCGACCCTTCATTTTCTTCCCCATTTCCGTGCTGTGTTTTGTTTTGTTTTGGGGCCGAATGAATGTCACGGTGCCGACTTAGGAAAGCTTATATGGCACCGGTGAGGCAGAAGGCCTCAAGTGAGGGGTGAGTTATTCCGGGGCTCGAAGGGGTGGGGACTCACTCCTCGAGCAGCCCCCGCAGCAGGTGAATCTCTCCGAAGAGGGGCAGGCAGTGTTGATGAGGTGGGCTGGGCAGGGGAGGCACATACTTCTGGGTGTATGACATTGACTTTGCAGGCTAGTGGGCACTCTGCAAAGGCGTGAGGAGTTGAAATGCATTCATGCGTGATGTATCTTGGATGTCTTTCTTCGCAGGGACGGTGAAAGTGAAGAGCTCCAATATCCAGGTTGGAGACCTTATCATCGTTGAAAAGGTGGGTGGGGTCTCGCAGTTTGTGACCAGGCTGCCGTGTGGGTTTGGTGGCAATGTGGGAAGTCATTGCCAGTTCACAGGCCCAACCATGTGGATTTGTGTATCTCGTAGACTAACTGAATGCAGGCTCTGGGGGATTTTTCTCCTCTAGCTTTGCCTGGGGAGGAAAACGTTTTTCCCCATGAGACGTACGTATAAAATACTTTTTCAAGGTTTATGTGGTTGGTTACCCAGAATTTCTCCTTATAAACTCAAGTACAAGTTATTATTATTTTTTTTTATGTTGATCTATTTTTCAGAGAGAGAGAGAGAGAGAGAGAGAGAGTGTGAGTGGGGGAGGGGCAGAGAGAGAGGGAGACACAGAATCCAAAGCAGGCTCCAGGCCCTGAGCTGTCGGCACAGAGCCCGATGTGGGGCTCGATCTCACGGACTACGGAGATTGTGACCTGAGCCAAAGTTGGACGCTTAACCGTCTGAGCCACCCAGGCTCCCCTAAGTTTTGATTTCCTATTTGCTGCATCTGTTTTCTGTTGTTGTTTTTTTTTTTTGACTTACTACAAAATCTTTCCTAGAAGTCTGCTTGCTGAGTAAGCACATAAAAATATTGGTCATTTACCATTTGAGCAGTTTTAGCTGCATTTTGTGACATATGCATAGTACTTTTCTGTTGTTTTGTGGGGAGATGGGGTTAAGTGTAATACGAGAATGGTAAGGAGGCCAGAAAACACATTTTTTAAAATAGCACCCTTAACAAATGTTTGTAACCTTGGCAAACATCTCTTTTTAAAAGCTGTCTTTTTGGAAGGGAAGGTAGCGGGTCTGGGGGTGGCCCTGGAGAGTCTTGGAATAATATTTGATCGGAATGGGATCGTACTGTAACTGGTTTCTGTAGGAAGTGAACTATGCTCTTTTAAAAGGATTAAATCCAAGAGCTCAAAGTCGATTTGAGGTAAAGTGAGGCTCTAGGGGACTAGGAAAGGAACAGCAGCGGGCAAGATTTTTCAGATTCAAAACCAAATAAATCCCCAAATCTGTCTGGGACAAAGGCAGAAACTTCAATGAGGCTGTGGGTTTCTGGCCCCCTCCCCACCGAGAGGGGCCGGGGGGGGGGGGGGAGGGCGGAAACCCCACACGTGGGCATTCACAGTAACAGTCTTTCTTTTCATTACGCAGAACCAGCGGGTCCCTGCTGACATGATCTTCCTGAGGACATCGGAAAAAAACGGTAAACATCTGGGATCAATTTTGAAAATAACCATTAACCTTTCAGTGGTAATTTGGCAAAATAATCATTTGAAAATGGAACAGAAGTAGATGATCGTTTTGGAGCCATGGAGGCAAATCAAAAACATCTCTTTTAATAGAGCAGTCTTTAAAAAGAAAAACAAAACAAAAAACCAAAACGTTCTTGGGGCTCACAGCTCAATAGATGCAGACCATCACAACGATACAATTAGTCGGGCCCACGCTGAGTCACAGCTGGCGAAGTCGCGCACGGTGGCCGGGATTTTCCTTTCTGGGCTGCTGTTAGGCTCAACTTCAGGGGTTGGCGGGATAAGGAAGTGTGTCCAACGTGCAGAAGCAAACAGAAACCCTCTCTGTTCGGAGGAAATGCCGGGAGAAGTGTGATGGTAGAGAAACGGGGAGAGAGGTAGGTGGCGTTTCTGGCTCTCTGCTCATGAGTGGCGGGGCCGTGCCTCCCCTCGCCCATCCGTTTATTTGTTATCACAGCCCGCTTGGGCCTGAGGGAGCTGCTCCAGCCTCTTAAGGAGACCCCGCTGGGGGCACTTCTTTCCCGGTGGGGCCGACACCACCATGGCCTGCCCACCCACCCGTCTGTTGACTCTAATCTCCTTTTTATTTTTTGTTATTTAAGCCGTTGCGAGGAAACGTTGTGGCTGTTTTTCTCTTGCCTACAGGCGCAACCAGATCTTCGAACGTCTGAAAAAAAAGGTCCCGTTATATTCCTTTGAGGTGGCTGCAGTCTATTTTATTATCAATCAAATAAAAGTATAGATGAAATTTTATACTAATAATATATTTAAAAAGCCCAGAGGTGGGGTAGAAGGCACTAGATTGAAAGTCTTTCTTTGAAATCTGCAGCTGTGTCCTCCGTTGGCTCTGACGTCCTTGTCAGCGAAGATAGATCATTATGGGTTGGGGCCCCCGAAATGTATCCCCCCCCCCGAAAAAGAAAAAATTAGGCGTGTTTTTTCTTTTTTCTTATTTGTCTTATTTTATTTTATTTTTTATTTTATTTATTTTATTTCATTTCATTTCATTTCATTTCATTTCATTTCATTTCATTTCATTTCATTTCATTTCATTTTAGAGAGAGACAGAGAGCGGGGGAGGGGCAGAGAGACACAGAGACAGATCCAAAGCAGCCTCTAGGCTCTGAGCTGTCAGCACAGAGCCCGATGTGGGGCTCAAACCCACCAACTATGAGATCATGACCTGAGCCAAGGTTAGACGCTTAACCCACTGAGCCACCCAGGTGCCCCCCTTTTTTCTTTTTTTAAAGTTTATTTATTTTGAGAGAGAGAGAGCATGAGCGGGGGAGGGACAGAGAAAGAGGGAAAGAGAGAGAGTCCTAAGCAGGCTCTGTGCTGTCAGCGAAGAGCCTGACTTGGGGCTCGAACTCATGAACTGTGAGATCACGATCTGAGCCGAAACCAAGAGTCGGATGCTTAACCGACTGAGCCGCTCAGAGGCCCCTAGATGTGCTTCTCCTTAAGTCTCCAGAGGTGTTGGCCGCAGTGCCCACGAATTCAGTGCATCCGGGGTCTGATGAATACACAGCTAACCCATTGCTGAGACTTGCACGCCAGACTGAAATAGGCGTTCACGGGCCAGTAGTACCAGCACGGGTCCGCTCGTAGCGCCTTCTGTGTTCCGAGCCGTCTGGCAGGATCAGCCGTCGAGTCTTCCTCATGTGAGGCTGCTGCTGCTGTGTCCATGTTCACCGTCAGGGAAACCGAGGCTTGGACAGCCTAGGTGGCTTCCCAAGGGCATGCTGCCTCTGGTCTGGCTTCCAGGCGGCTGGCTCCTGATGAGTGTAGACAACTCTGCCCAGAGTGTCCTGAGGTGCCAGCTGTGTCATGCCAGCCACCATGCTGGGGGCTCGGTCACCCCCAGGTCTTTACAGCAACCTCCCGAGGTCTGCGTTTCTCCCCGTTTTCCAGACGGCCTGCCGGTGTTTATTTAGCAAGGTCAAGGAGCTGGCCAGGTTCCTGCTTGGGGCGGGTGGTGGAGTGAGGATTTGAACCCAGATCTCCAGACGCGAGAGCTTACAGGGGAAGTGGGAAACGGGGCGTTCGTCTTCCCTTTTGGTTGCTGGCCACTGGCTGGATTTTTACGAAGGCCAGAGCGGGAACTACACAGAGCTGCCCGGGGGTAGACGGCGCCCACCTTCTTCCATAGGGTCGTGCTTCCTGCGGACGGACCAGCTGGACGGCGAGACCGACTGGAAACTGCGGCTCCCCGTGGCCTGCGCGCAGAGGCTCCCCACCGCGGCCGTGAGTAGCTTTCCCGCAGAAACACAGCCTGGGAACCGTGTCCTTGCAGGGCCAGCCAGCTCGGGGGGTGGGGGGGGGGGGCGCACGTAGATCAGTGTGGGGGGTGTCATTTGTGAAGGAGGGGTGACAGGGTGGGGGCCAGGGGGGGCCCCCGAGCACCTGTTCTTTCGAGTTATGTGGCTGTATGAAGCACAGCGGGGAGCTCTTTGGAGGGAAGCTCAGTCTTTTTTTTTTAAGTTTAGTTTTTTGAGAGAGAGAGAGAGAGTGGGGGAGGGGCAGAGAGGGAGAGGGAGAGAGAGGGAGGGGGGGAGGGAGAGAGGGAATCAGGGAATCCCAAGCAGGCTCCACACTGTCAGCGCAGAGCCCGACACGGGGCTCGAGCTCATGAACCGTGAGATCATGACCTGAGCCAAAATCAAGAGCCGGACACTTAACTGACTGAGCCGCCCAAGGGCCCCATAGCTCAGAATCTTAAGAAGCCCCGACAAGGTACTTAGCCTAGAACTAGAAGGGAAGGCAGGTGTATCATTTCTCTGCTCAGCGCCTCTCGTCTTACTGAGAACCCTCCCTTCAGCCCTCGCTGTCGTCCTCAGGCCCCACGTCCTCTGTCTCAGTGCCGGAGCCCCACCCTCGGCCTGGGTGCTCTGCCCGCCAGTGCCTTCTCCCTCCTGATCAGGGGTCCTCTGCCTCCGAGTGTTTGCCCTTGCTGTTTCCTACACCGGGGGCAGTCAGACCCCACTGGCTGCCTGGGTGGACATCTCCACTCTGTCCCTTGGGTTTTGTGCTCAGGTCTCCTTATCTGAGAGGCATTTTCTGACAGTTCTTTCCTTGCATTCCACCCCACTCGCTTCAAGGCGGTATCTCTGAGAGCAGAGTTCTGCCCAGTACGTTCACTGCTGAACATCCTATGCGTGGAACAGTGTGAGGAACAGCACAGAGAACAGCGTGTTAGCCCCATTAGCCCCACGTCACTCATGCCATGATTTGTAAAGGGAGGGGGGACAGGGAGCCAAAGAGTAAGTTTAAACATAAGCCACATAGATTGGATGTGGCCCAAGGACGAGGTTACAAAGTCACAAAACGTAATTGAAACACTCAGAGACCAACTGGTCCGAAGGGGTCAGGCAGAATGTGTAAACTTTTCCCAGGCTGGTGGTCGGGTTCACTGTGTTCTGTGAGGAAGGAGCAGGCAGGATACAGTTCCGTGTTAACCTGCTAATAAACACGCCCACTGTCCTGATGATGTTTCGTAGCCAGTGACGAGTAAGATAACACTGGTATTAGTCTTAATTTTTGAGCCAGGCGTTCTAGAGTAGCGAGTTTCTAACCGTGGTTAGGAGCCCCTGGGAATCCTTAGAACGCACTCACCTGCCCCTGAGATGGTTCTGATTTTTCTGGGTGATACATTTTAACTTCCTGGTGAGATTTCTGCAAAGAAAGCTTTCTGAGCCTCAAAATGATTTGAAGGATTCTCTTTAAGAGACAGCCTGGAAGAGCCTAGAATCATGAAGATACTTGACCGTCAGCTGCACAGAGTTGCATTTCTTGGTGTGTGCTTTGGATGTGTCAATTTAATAAATGCTCATGTTCCCCCACCCACCCCCACTCCCGCCACCCCCGTCTGGCACAGGCCTGGGCTGGGGTCCAGATGCCACTGGACCGAAGGGATCTGAATGGGGTGCAACAATTTAACAAAGTTGTAAGTTAGAAGAACCGTATGATAAGATTACGTGGGCATTACGTGCCTATATTCTTGTTTAAAAAAAAATTAAATTAAGGGAGCCTGGGTGGCTCAGCCGGTTAAGCATCCAAGTCTTGATTTTGACTCAGGTTGAGCCCATGACCATTCGTGAGTTCAAGCCCCGCATTGGGCTCCGTGTTGACAGCATGGAGCCTGCTTGGGATTCTCTGTCTCCCCTCTCTCTCTGCCCCTCCACTGATCTCTCGCTCTCTGTCTGTCTCAAAATAAGTAAATAAACGTTAAAAAAATCAAAGCATGTGGAAAGCCCTGGAGGAAAAAGCAAACAGTGTCGTTCATGGCCTCTACCCCACACCTGACCCGCTTCCCCCGGGGATCACGTGAACGCCGTAGTGATCTTTGTGGACCGTGGTCAGCACCCTTTCCTACAGATGTACAGCTACAAACTTGTTGGAAGGGGGAGCTTTTACAAAGAAGGGATCCTACTGTATTTGCAATTCCACACCTTTACCCGCGCACTTTGGGTGTGCCTCAGGGCCTTTTCTTACCAGTGCATAGGGGCCACAGAACAAACACGCCTGCATACGGGGCCTCCTAGTGAGTTAGTAGAGGTCTCAGGCCCCGCCTGAGGGGCCGGCCGGTAGCCTCCACCCCACTCCAGACTCCTGATGGCACAGGGTATTGTGGTCTGAAAACCTGTGGTATCAGGTCCTGACCACCTGATTGGAGATTTGTTTTCTAAATCTTTTATTGTAAAATACACACTAGATTTACCGTTTTATCATTTTAAAGTGTCCAGTTCGGTGGTGGTAAGCACTTTCACACTGTTGTGCAGCCGTCCCCACCATCCATCCCCAGGTCTCTTCATCCTGCAAAACTAAGACTCCACGCCCGTGAAACAAAAATTCCCCATCGCCCAGCCCCCGGCAGGCACACTCTACTTGCTGTCTCTATGACTTTGCCCTAGGACCTCTTGTAAGTGGAGGCCTACAGTATCTGTCCTTTTGCGACTGGCTTTGCTTCCCTTAGCGAAAGGTCCCGAAGCTCCACCCACGTGGCGGCCTGTGTCGGAACTTCCTGTCTAAGGCTGGGCAACGTTCCATCCTGTGTACGCACCGCATTTCGTTCGTCCGCGTCTCACGTATCCATTGATGGGCCCTTGGGTTTGTTGCCATCTTTTGGTAATTGTGAGTAATGATGCTATGGATGGGGCGCATGGTCTCTTCGAGACCCTGCTTTCGGTTCCCAGCAGGTGGCTTGCTATTCATGTGCTAATTCTGTGCCAGGGTTTCTGAGGACCCGCCATACTGCTTTCCACAGTGGCTGCACCATTTCACATTCCTGCCAACGGTGCACAAGCTTCCAACGTCTCCGCATCCTCACCGACTCTGTTTTCTGTTTGTTTGTTTTCGATGTTCATTTATTTTTGAGAGAGCGAGAGACTGAGCAGGAGTGGAGGAGGAGTAGAGACAGAGAGCGAGAGACAGAGTCCGAAGCGGGCTCCAGGCTCCGAGCTGTCAGCACAGAGCCCGACACGGACCGCGAGATCATGACCTGAGCCAAAATCAGACACTTAACCGGCTGAGCCACACGGGTGCCCCACTTTTTCTGTTTTTTGAGAGTAGCCCTCTTAATGGGTGTGAGGTGTTCTTTTTTTGCTTTTCACCCCTCCGTCTTTTCCAGGGCTTTACACAGAGCAGGTGCCCAGTAGCCCCTTGTTGACTGAGCAAGTATTTTCTTTGGTACCAACAGCTCTTGTGAAGCACGGTGTAGCAAAACCGGTGTGGGAAACCAGTTTGGGAAACACTGGGTGTCCACAGATAAACAGGCATCTTCACAGCAGACTCTGTCAGGGTGTCTTGGGATATGGCAACTCCTAAGCTTCTTGAATAGAAACAGTTTCTTCCTTCTTCCACCTGCCCTGTAATTTTGAGAGCCTGTTTGCTGTCTGAGAGCAACAGCTGCTTTTGAAAACTAGTGGGTGCCTCCCGAAATCTTCTCTAATTACGAACTTTTCAAAAAACAATTTTTATTTTACATTTATTTATTTTTGAGAGACAGAGACAGAGCACAAGTGGGGGAGGGGCAGAGAGAGAAGGAGACACAGAATCAGAATCCGGTTCCAAGCTCTGAGCTGTCAGCACAGGGCCCGACGCGGGGCTCGAACTCACAGACCGCGAGATCACCACCTGAGCCGAAGTCGGACGCTCAACCGACTGAGCCACCCAGGTGCCCCGCGAACTTTGTTTTTAACTCCAAAACGTTACCTCTGTTGAACAGGACCTTCTTCAGATCCGATCCTATGTTTACGCAGAAGAACCCAATATCGACATTCACAACTTTGTGGGAACTTTTACCAGAGTAAGTAAGCCTCACTCACCACGGAATCCTGCCTTTATAGAGTTGTGCTGGTAACAGACCTGCAAAGAGGTGTTGACGGGTCTTTGTTAGGGAGCAGCTTTGCTCGGGCTGGCGGTGAAATTCCCTTAAGAAGCACCCCCCTCCCCCACCCTGGCCTTGAAAGCTGACATAGTGTTTCTCAATGAGATCGGCCCAGCTGGATTTTCTTCCAGCCTCTGACCAGCTAGAATTACCTGACACCGTAGAGCCGAGCATTGTTACGATTAACGTTAAAGCTCTGAAAGCACTCTTTCTGTCCCCTTCAGATGCATCCGTGACCCCTTCCACTCGCACAAGCCCCGTCTGCCTCCGTTACAAGTTTTAAGCCACGTCCCAACTTTTCAGAATAGAAATTAAATTTGGGCTGAAATGCTGTGAAGAATCTGGGACAGGAGATTTGTAGACTCCAAATTAAATCCATGGTCTCCTTCTGGAAGCTGTAGGGCTGGCCAGCAGAGGGCTGTTTCTGTTCGATTGGCTTCTGCATTCTATTTCCAGCCTTGTACGACATTTCTTCAGCGTTAGGAGCCTGTCCGGCTTCAGTCACAAACCACCCTTTTCACCTATCGCGGTGGGATGAAAACGCCCAGGAGGGTGGCTTGTGAGCTCGGCCCTTCTCTCCTGGCTGAGCTGCAGGCATCCGAATAGGGGTCCTCCTCACTTCCTGTCTTGGGAGGAGCCAGCTGGAAACAGCCTGTGGATTCTGCCCAAACCTTGGTAGATAAATGCGTGTCCGTTGGCCTTTTCCAGGAGGACAGCGACCCTCCGATCAGCGAGAGCTTGAGCATAGAGAACACTCTCTGGGCCGGCACTGTCATCGCGTCGGGTAAGGGCGCCCTTGTTGAGGAATGTGTTAGCAATTTGAAAAAGAAAGAAAATCCTTTTGTATAATTAGAATAATCATCTGTCAGTTGGGAAAATTAGTCGTGGTCAGATGGTGTTTTCCACTTGCTCGCGCCCCTCCAGGGAATCAAACTGACGTCTAATTGGCCCTCGGACACTTGCGGACGTCTGTGAGAATCTGCTGTGCCAGTGGACTTCTCTGCAGCGTCCGCTCTGGGAATGGCCCTTAATTGCCCCCCGAGATTGACATTCTAATCTGTACCAGAAATTGGGGCAACCTGGGTGTTCTGGCCGGAAGTTGTGTCCGTGGGGGCTGCGGGGCTGGCCCCGCCCGTCCAGGGGCCGTGGTGCCCAGGCAAAGGCCATGGGCCTGAGTTGGAGCCTTGGTGTTGAAAACACCAAGATGCCGTGGAAATTGGTGCCTTTTAGTTTTGTGAACACTGGGATGAAACTGGGCAGAAGGGGCTCCAGGGGCTGAGGTGTCTGCGGTGGCTGCAGTTGACCTTAGTGGGGTGCCTCTGATCTGTCGGGCACTTTGTTGAGCCCTTTATGTGCATTACACACTTCACTTAACCCTCCCAACGTTACCGTGAGGGAGGGTGCCGGTATCATTCCCATTCTGCAGATGAGGAAACCACGGCTCAGTGAGGTTAGTGATTTGCCCAAGGTCACACCGCAGGTAAAAGGCAAAGCGGAGGCTTGAACCCAGGCACTTTGCTCCAGAAGCAGAACTTACGGTGCAGCTGTCCTTACTGTATTACGTATGTTACGTAATAGTATCCACTGTTATTAACGTATGATTGTACTGCTGGCAACTTTCTGTCTTTGCTGTTTGCTGGAGTCTGGCTTTTTCCCTCTTCACGCACATGTCCCTCCCGCCCGCCTGTTTTCTTCCCTTTGATGCCGCCTGTGGCTCTTCAGTACAGCAGATGCTTGGTCAGGGTCCTCTGCGACAAGGCCTGTGGATGACGAGCACAGACCAGCACAGAGTACACACGGGGCTGCTAGTTCACCCTCCGCAGGGGCTCCGCTTAACGCAAACGGGCAGAGTTGAGCGCTCCCTTGAGGTCCTCCGACCTTTTCCTTTTCCGCTGCCTGCCCGTATTGACGGCGTGATCCGGGATGGCTCAAATCCTCCTGATGACTAACCAAGTGAGGAATGGGTCCCTGAGTTTCAGCGTGGCCACTGGGCACTGCCGGCCATACCTTGGCCAGGCCCGAAGCCACGCCCACACCCGAGGCCACGCCTGCATCCCCGCCCACACCCATGGCCACGCCCACCAGGCCCTGCAGGAGCCCCTTCCCCTTCAGACTCTGCCCTCTGGCCTCTCCCCTCCCGCTTGTCCACGCTTCTCTCAGAACTGGTTTACTCTTCCTTCCCAGTTGTTCTCCACTTTGAAGTCACTTATTAACAAGTAATTATTTTTTATTTTAAAAGTTTAATTAATTTAATTAACTCTAGAGAGCGAGTGCGAGTGGGCGGGAGGGACAGAGGGGAGGGGGAGAGTGAGCCTTCAACAAGCTCCAGGCTCAGCCCAGAGCCCAACCCGGGGCTTGATCCCACGATCTGAACTGAAATCAAGAGTTGGTCACTCAATTGACTGAGCCACCCAGGCGCCCCTAAAGGATTTTTAAGGTTGTATTTTTAAGTCCAATCTCCTCCCCAACGTGGGGCTCGAACTCACGACCCCAAGATCAAGAGTCGCGTGCTCTATACCAACTGAGCCAGCCAGGCGCCCCCAAAAGGCTTTGATCAAGCACCTCTATGTAATGCGGCCATGCTCTGTTGCTAGGCCCTGGTGCTGTGGTAGCATTCCAGAAGATTCTTGTCTCCACCCTTGTGGTGTTTCTAGTTTACTCTAAACTTCATACAGATTATGATTTTGAGGTGGAGGGTCTGAGGTGGAAAAGGCTTCTTGGCCTTCATCTCAGAGATGAACAGCAGTAAGTTTTACTTACCAGGCTCTTTTTATTTACAGAGTGTTTTGCTGTCATTCTCTTGTTTTGGTCTCACAGCATTAAATGAGGATTTAATGGGATAAAGAGGAATTGAGTCTCAGAGAGGCTAAGCAACTTGCCTAAGGTCACACAGCCGAGGAGGTCATCTCCCGGAAGGCAGAGAGTGGAAAGCAAGTTGGGACCTTGAAGAGGGGAGAAAAAAGTTTCAGACCGTTTGTGAGTGGTGCTGTAGGAACAGAGAGAGCAGTGATTTCAACGATCCGGTAGCAGCACCTGCCACGCCCTTCAGCGGGCGCAGGTTTTCGAGTGAGTCTGAGAAGCCGGACGTTTACTGTTTCTTTAGCTGGCCTCAGTTTCCCCTGCTTCTCACTGAGTAGTTCTCTGACTACGTTGCGGTTCTAATGTGAGGTTACATGCGGGCCACTTCCTTCCTGGTGCTCGACTCAAGAAACAGCCGTCCTTAATGACCTTGATTAGATGAGATTTTACTTTTCTGTTCTCTGTAGAGTCTAACTCCTGTGTTTTGGTCATTCTGCTCTTATCGCTTGAAAGTTTAAAAAAAAATAAAAAAGAAAACTTGCCAGGCAGCATGTAGGGTCCAGTGACATTGGCCGGCATCAATCTGTAGAGGATGCAGTTGCCACGGTAACCCGCCACCGGGCCACTCGGCTGAGGAGTCACTGGGGTGAGACACGGAAGGGACGGCCTGGGGCCTTGGCAGAGCAGGTGGCCCGGCTGTGTCATGGAGCCCGGTTCTTCCCAGACTCTCCAGTCCGTTGTGCCGCTGCCTCCCCCGACCCCAGCCTGGCGGGTTGATCGTGGCCACCGTGTGACCCACATGCAGTCACGCCACATGCCCCTCGCCCCAAGGCTTGGCGGGACACGTCCTTTGGTCGCATGCTTGAATGTTGCAGCAGCATCTAACTGCTGTAGACGTTTCTGAAGGCTTGCGCTCAGGGGGTAGCATTTGTCCTGTCACAGATGGGGAACAAAGGGGTCACAGAGCAGCGCTGACCCCAGGACCGCGCTGTCGTGGAGAGTTAGGAAGAACTCCGTGTGAAAGCCGACCGCAGCGGTGTGACTTGGGGAAAGAAACCAGCTGGCCAAACGGGGGCGCGTCTGACTCCGCAGACGGATGGCAGAGGGTGACAGTGTGGAGGGTCGGGAGAGCTGACAGCACAGGAAGTGGGGGTCAGGCATGGGGGGTGGAGGGGCTCTGGTCGGAAAGTCTTGAAGGGCTTGATTGGGCCCCGTGGGAACCAGGATGAGCCGAGGGCCTCCCCTGGCTGAAGCGAGTGCCTGTGCTTCACACCTGCTGGTAGTACAGTGGCAAACGCGGACCCAGTGTCACCACATCTTCTGATGTTCCGCGAGAAGCCAGAATTCTTAATTTCTTTTTTTTATGTTTTTTTATTTTATTTTATTTTTTTATTTT